TCTTTCTAAGATCAGATATTATGTACCACGCCCTGCCCTGGTGACTCTCTATTACTCCCTTATCTATCCTTATCTCAACTATGGTATTTGTGCTTGGGGTTCTACTACCCAAAATCACTTACGTCCTCTAATTACCCAACACAAAGCTGCTATTAGAACAATATCCAACTCTGGCCCCAGACATCACTCGGTACCCCTACTCAAATCTCTGAATATGTTAGATATTAAGTCACTGCACATTCTCTCATGTGTATTATACATATATAAAACGCTAAACTATAATGCCAATCCTGATCTTAAAAGCTTCATAGAAGGTTGTAACAGAACCCATGAGCACCACACCAGAAATAAATACAGTTTTGATATTCCTAGAGTACGTCTTAATCAAACTAGAAATGCTCTGCAAATCAAGGGGCCCAGAATGTGGAATGACCTATTCCAGCTTCCATATTCCAGCTTCCGCCGGAACATCAGCAGCCGGGACGGGACATAGGGGGAGCCTGCACGTGCACCCCACGTGGCCCCCAGACCCGGTCGCCGCCTGCAGGAGGCCCTCAGTGGCGGGCGAGAGCCCGGTACGCCCACACCCAGTGCCCCTCAGCCCGAGCGACAGGCGAGGCAAGGCCGCTAATGCAGCCCCCAGAAGCGTGAGAGCCGTAAGGAGCCCGTCCACGTGGCCCACGCCATACCCCCAGGCACGGACACTAGGCCACTAGGCCATGCCGTGCACACCTCCGGGCTCCAGTGACGCCCCCTAGGCAAGGACTGTCCGCATGGGCCTAGGACTCCGGCCCACGGGCGCAGAGGAGCCCGCACGTGCATGCCTCGTGGCCCAGGCACCCGCAGGACGAGGGCCACGAGGGCGAAGCAGAGCCCCTGGGGACCCCGCCTAGGGCAAGCAAACCCCTGAGAGCCATGACCAGATGGGCAACACCACCACAGTGGCGCCGCCCGCCCCCGGGCGTAGAGGAGCCCGCACGCAAGGGGCGAAGGGTGCCCCCAGGGACCACGCCTAGGGTAAGCACGCCTGGCCACGTGGGCGACACCACCAGATGCGGCGCCGCCCGCCCCCGGGCGTGGAAGAGCCCGCACGTGCACGCCTCGTGGCCGGGGCGCCCACTAGGGCAAGGGGCGAATAGGTTGCCCCCAGGGACCACGCCATGGTAAGCACGCCACTGAGCCTGGCCACGTGGGCGACACCACCAGAGGGGTGCCGCCCGCCCTCGTACGGAAGGGGGAGGGGCCACACGTGCACGGCACGACCCGCACGCCCGGGCACGGAACTCCCGGGTGGGGAGGGACCCCGGCGTGCAGCCCGCACGCCGGGGTAAGCCCGCACGCCGGGGTCCTTAGAGAGGGCAAATAAACCTGGGGCAGCTAGCTACTGCGTCAGTACACGCACAACCGGGGACAGGCGCTGGGCACACGCCGGGCACTGGGGGCATTCCTAACTAAAACAGGGCGCCCCACACGCGGACGTGTAGGGGAAACACGGCCAGGACTGTACCTTAGGATAATGGAGATGGGCCGGCTGCTTTGTAACGCCTATGGCTAACAGTGAAAACTTCACTAAATCAGGATCCCCATGTGGGCCGCCCTTGTAGGCGACAGGGGGTGGCGTGGAAGGCTATGTCAAAGGCGTGTAGTCGTCTGAGGTACCGGCGTCGTAGTCCACGTGTAACGGATGGCGGAGAGCGTTTTGTAGTGTATCTAGCGAGCAAGAGACGCTGAGACCGCGGGCACGCTTTTAAGTACCCTGCTCGATGCGCGCGCGCGCTACTTAGTCGGTTAGTCTCCAAATCATGGTAATACACTTTCTTCCCCGCTTTTGTTGTGAAAGCAGTGACTATTTACGCAAAGCGTTTCGGGCAGGTAAAACATTAATGACTAAAGCTTAATACTAATTGGGTATAAAGAATAAAATGTGTTGAGAACAAATAAAAATAGAGATAAAAAAAGGGGGGGGGACATAGCTGAAAAAGCAGCACAAATACAATTAGGTCGACAAACAGCGTTGTTTAAAAAAAAAAAACAGACATGGGTTGACAATAGAGGGGTAAGATAGGTTACAGGGAATTTATTAGGTAGTGCTTCGTTTTTATCTTAAACTGGTTGAGAGAGGTACGTACAGTCTTTAACATGGTTGGGAAGGTCATTCCACATTCTGGGTCCCTTGATTTGTAGAGCATTTCTAGTCTGATTAAGTCGTACTCTTGGAATATCAAAACTGTATTTATTTCTGATGTGGTGCTCATGGGTTCTGTTACAACCTATTCAGCGTTTTATATATGTATAATACACATGAGAGAATGTGCAGTGACTTAATATCTAACATATTCAGAGATTTGAGTAGGGGTACCGAGTGATGTCTGGGGCAAGAGTTGGATATTGTCCTAATAGCAGCTTTATGTTGAGTAATTACAGGACGTAAATGATTTTGGGTAGTAGAACCCCAAGCACAAATACCATAGTTGAGATATGGATAGATGAGGGAGTAATAGAGAGTCACCAGGGCAGCGTACATAATATCTGATCTTAGAAAGAATGCCAACAGTTTTTGAAACTTTTTTTGATATATTTAGAATGTGTCCCTGGAAATTCAGCTTGTGGTCAATGAGAACGCCAAGGAACTTAGTTTAGTTCATTTATTATGCACCCCATACCCATCTTGTGGGCGGTAGTGGAAAGAGTTACAGAGGCACATAATGGGCTCAGGGACTGAACCCCACAGTTCATTTAGCTAAGCAAGTTATAGTCTTGATGAGCTAGTTACAAAAATCAATATAAGTCGTCACATCAACAATGGGTTCGAGATCGACCTCAAGTACAGGTTCTAAATCAAGCAACTGACATATGTGGAGAGCTAGTGTCACAATTTATATGTTTGTACTGCACACCGCCCCCCATCCAGTGGGCAGCGGTGGATAGGTTACAATCACTCAATTACTACCTACAGTTAGCAAACTGGGGATATATGGCTAAAATTTCTGGTAGCAGATCATTTTGAATGAAATATTTACACATCGCTGGAACATTGGTTATAGAATTGTCTCTAAATTCACGTATCTTTTCGCACTCCATCACAAGGTGACGGAGGGTGTGCGAATAATTTTGTTGACACAGTTTACATTTGGTCAGGTTTACATCAGCAGATAATGAGAATTCCCAGAGATACTTGTAACTGAGTCTAAACCGAGCAGTAGTAACATCTAGAAGTCTGCTGATTTTACTGGATGATCCATAGATGTGTGGCTCCTCTTGCATGATAGTGTGATGATAGATGGAATTACTGGTGTCAATTTCACTTTGCCTCAGATCTACAAGATCTTGTTGAAGTTCTCGGTGTACTGCTGCTCTCAGATTGCTCATTGACAATCCAAGGTTACACTCAATGGCTCCTTTAAAAGAACACTGTATCCCAAAAACGGTGGGTTTTCTGAGTGGAAGAGAACGTATGTCTGGAAGCTGACTTTAACCGCCCCAAGCTGCGCGCGCATTGACCCGAGGTTATATAAACCGGGACGGAGACGGCGTGGGCCCCTTTCCCAAGCCAGCAGCTGCTCTTACATAACCAGAAGACATGGCAGGATGTGCAGAATACCCCCGTTGAAAAAAAGAGGTGCAACTGGTACTCTGAGAGAGAACTCTATCAACATCAGAGGTCCGAGACTGTTCAACAGCTTCCACTACACATAAGGGGCATAACTGGCCGACCCCTCACAGTGTTCAAGAGAGAACTGGATAAGCACCTCCAAAGGATACCTGATCAACCAGGCTGTGACTCATACGTCAGGCTGCGAGCAGCCGCGTCCAACAGCCTGGTTGATCAGTCCGGCAACCAGGAGGCCTGGTCGACGACCGGGCCGCGGGGACGCTAAGCCCCGGAAGCACCTCAAGGTAACCTCAAGGTAACTTATCAGCTCTATCGTGCATTCGGAGGCCAACATGAGATGGAGACCACATGAAATGTTACCATCCTTAATAATTTTGTTGTATTTGTGTCTAGCTTCGGACACGAGCATGTTACAGTTATGTCTTAAAGAGTTGAGAGCATTTAAGGATGATAAGGAGTCACTTACAATTAATGTATCAAGTTTGGAGACTTGTACACATTTCAGTGCAAGGATCAAGGCAAATAGTTCGGTCTGAAAGGTAGAGGCCCAATTGTTTATACAGACTCCCCACTCAAAGTACAAGCCATCGCCCATTGTCAGAATAACTGTACTTCCAGCTGCACCCGTGGTGCGGTGTAGGGAACCATCAGTGTATATGATTTGAGAGACAGAACGCTCTGTGGACAGAGCATCAATATGGCTTAAGGGGTTGAGCTTTGCCTCAAGACGAAGCTTGGGCTGATCTCTAATTTGCTTCTTGGGTGTAAAGGGAGGGATTAAAACTGGAAAGGGTGTAACCTCCCACGGTGCAGGAAAGTGCCGTTGTTGTTTCTCTTGGTACAAATCATGAACCTGATACATTCTGAGTTGAGTTCCAGTTTTTGTTATCCATTTGGAACAATGCTGATCTTCAATAAAGAAATTCTGGAGGGCTTCTGTGCAAGGATTAGGATGAGTTAGCCTAAGCATTTTTATACCAATTTGACAGTTAATTTCAGTAACACGAACCAAGGAACTTGTTATCTAATTTGTTACAAATTTGAGTATGTACTAGCTCTATCTATAAATCTATCAATTTTTATATAACCTCTTGTATGAATGTACTTTACCTGAATAAACATTTATTTATTTATTTATTTATTATTTATTTATAACTATTTTCGTTTTTTTTAATTAGCAAAATGAGGTATAAACAGCAATGTGCTGCTACCCTATTCTATATGAGATATTACACTGTGTAGATCGAGAATTAGCTATAGGTTCGACTATTATTCCCATCTCATAGGATAGTTAATCATACATGGAATTAGGGGAGATGATACCTGCTTTAATACAAAAACAAACCAGCTCTGACTAATCAGCTGGCGTCATTGAAACCTAAAAGAGCGTCGTGGTTGTGGTCATGTTTGTAAACAGACCCCAGCTGACCGCTCTCGGCCCCGTGTTGGGGCTCTTGCTCCAGTAAAAACCTTCATGCAAACTGCACTTATCGCGAAGAAGAAGCTGCCGACAAGATTTTATTGAAGAAAATCTTGCTCTTGTGGGAGTTTACACGAGGAAACATTATTACCAGCTACGAAACACTTGGATACACTTGTCGCAAATCTTTCATGGAAGGTAAGACCTAAACTGGTGATCGTGTTGAATATACATAAGCCAATGCATCATGTAAAACAAATACAGTTTTGATATTCCAAGAGTACGACTTAATCAAACTAGAAATGCTCTACAAATCAAAGTACCCAGAATGTGGAATGACCTTCCCAATCATGTTAAAGACTGTACCTCTCTCAACCAGTTTAAGATAAAAACGAAGCACTACCTAATAAATTCCCTGTAACCTACCTTACCCCTCTATTGTCAACCCATGTCTGTTTTTTTAAACAACGCTGTTTGTCGACCTAATTGTATTTGTGCTGCTTTTTCTGCCATGTTCCCCCCTTTTTTTATTTTTATTTTTATTTGTTCTCAACACTTCTATACTTTAATCTCAATTAGTATTAAGTTTTAGTCTTTAATGTTTTTCCTGTCCGAAACGTTTTGCGTAATAGTGGCTTTAGGCATTGTATGTACAGTACTAGCTCTATCTATAAATCTATCAATTTTTGTATAACCTCTTGTATATATGTTCTTTACCTGAATAAACATTTATTTATTTATTATTTATGTACACACCAGATGTGTTATAAAATACCCTTATTTGTTCTTGTAAATTTTTGTTGATACTTTGTTTTGATTTTAAGAAAACCCTTCTTGCCCGAAACACAGTTCGTACTCTATGTAGAAATCCAACATTCTGTTTGTAACTCATTTTGAATGCATGTACTTTTACCTGAATAAACATTATTATTATTATTATGATAAAGGGACAGCAAACACTATGAATGAATGCTTTACATTGCTCACACACACTAGACTTTCTACACACACACTTTCTAGTGTTCATACTAGAAAGATTAGACAACATCCCATTAGCCGCACAAAAGTTTGAAAGTGTTGAAAACGAATTAATAATAATAATAATAATAATAATAATAATGTTTATTTAGGGGAAAAGTACATACTGTACATGCAAAATGAGTTACAAGCAGAATGTTGCATTTCTAGATAGAGCCAGTATATACTATGCTTAAAGCCACTAATATAAAAAAAAAAAATCAAAATCATTCAACAAAAGTAATTCCAGAGCTATGCCAATTTATGTATCAGGAACAGTTGAGGGCCACAGGACTAACAATGCTGCAAACAAGGCATGACAGGGTGAATCTCATTGAAACTTTTAAAATACTGAACAGTTTGGAGGATTAAATTTTCCAGAAAATTTCTTCAAGAGGTTAGATGTAACACAAACAAGGAGCAACAGTTTCAAGCTCAACAAGCCATAATGTAGGACTGAGAACAGGAGATACTTCTTCACCCACAGGGTTATTAATCATGGAACTGCCTACCCGTCAAAGACGTAAAGGCCAAAACTCTGTTAAATTTTAAAGTACATACAACTGGAAAAGATCAAGGCAAATGGGAAGGACTTTCAACAAGCTGCTGGCTTCATGTCCTCATCAAGGCCACTACAGTAGTGTTAGTGGCCTCTCACGTAAAATTCAGGTAAATACGCACAGCATTTTGGGCAAGATGTGAGAAAAAACTTATAAACTAAGACTTAAAACTAATTGAGATCAAAAACATGAATATACCAGTAATTAGATATCAGTAGCTTTACACATTACTCATTAATCATTAATATTTGATAATAGCAAGACATAGGTTGACATTTAGGAGGTAAGGTAGGTTACATGAAGTTGATTAGGTAGTACTGTACTTAGTTTTTCTTTTAAACTGGTTGAGAGAGGGGCAGTCTTCGACATGATTGGGAAGGTCAATCCACATTCTGGGTCCCTTGATTTGTAGAGCATTTCTGCAAATTTGGTTTGGTTTGGTTAAGTTTGGTTAAGTTGCACTCTTGGAATATCAAAAAGATATTTGTTTCCTAGTTTGGTGCCCCATGGGTTCTGTTATAACCCTCTAGGAACCATTTAAGGTCAGGATTAGCATTAGAGTTCAGAGTTTTATATATACCTCGAGGGCGAGGTATATATAAAACCAGGGGAGGGCGAGGTACATAATATCTGGTTTTAGAAAGAATGCCAACTGTTTTAGAAACCATTCAGCTATATTTTGTATGTGGCCCTGGAAATTCAGCTTATCAATGAGAACACCTGAAAATGCTCCAACTTTGTCTAAATAATCACCAACGTAACTTAAAAAACAAGAAAATTAAAAATAATTATAACATTTAATATTGAAAATCTCAGATTTTCAAATGAGTATGAAAAATATAAGATATCACAAATTTTTCATTTAGTATTATTATGATGCTCTCAGAAGAGTATATGATCTTCATTTGTATTTATTATTATTATTATAGTATTTAGTATAGTTTACTGTAAAAAAAAAAAATCAATACCAATGAATTCAATTCAATACATTTGAGATATTCATCAAATTTAGACAAAAAAATTTACTTCCAACATTTAGGGTTTATGAAAAACAATCAACTAGGATTGTAGAACAGATAGCTGTACCCACTATATGTAAAAATGGTGAGAATTGGCCAGAAACTGGATTTTTGATGCTCACTTCAAAGTTGAAATTCTAATTATAGATATTGAAATTCAAGTTATCAGCAATAATTATAGTAGTTCTAATTCATTAATTTACTTGTATGATTTAATAAACATTGTTTGGCATTCATACTCGAATATATGAAAGTTGTAGATCAATGTGTGTTGAAATGAGGTCAAGAAAAAATTCCCTTCCCCCCAAAAAAAAAAATTATAATGATTTAGGGGATATATATATGTATACTTTAAATAAGTGATAAAGCCCTAATCTGGTCCCTAATCATCAAAACAACCTAAAGAGACAAAGAAATAGAGTTTGAAATCTGTGAAAAAATCACCCCCCAAAAAATTCAAAGTTCCAAGTTTTGCTAGTTGTGGCTGATTTATTTGTTGACCAATTTCATTCTATCTTCACATAATTAAGGATGGGTATGCACTCTTCAGGATATAAAGATTACAACAAAATCAGATAATAAACAATACAACAAAATTTGGATATTGGTGAAAGTAACAGATATTAACAACGGGCAATGTCATTACAGTATATGATATATAACAAAATAGAGCATAATAACATACTTACTCATTATTATTTGTGTTATTATGTATTACTCAGCAATGCTATAAAAGCACCAGCTGCATATCCACTTTGTGGATACTTCATACTTCTATTCTTCTTCTTTGTGCGTTGGACAGGTGCTTGCACCTCTTTATTACTGCATTATCCCTCAGTCCCAGTTAATAGGAGCTGTTCTCCTTATCAACAAAACTATTTTTTTAAACATCGTCAAAAATCTATTTCTGAAAATATTGGGATGAAACTTTCACGATGCTGAAGTCAATAAATTGGAGATTTCTTTAACATTTATTAGTAATTTTTACATAATTCAAATATTTTTGCGATTCTCGGCCGATTCCCGGTCCCTTAATGCACCTCTCTAATGTATGACAAATTACTGTATATTACTGTATAGCATACAATGTAATATTTTCAGCATTATAAAATAAGCAAGTAATATAAAAGATAAAAATTAATGACTATATGTACTCTGGCTGTGCAACTAAATATTTGAATAATAGTTGTGGATGAGTGTTATCTTCTCTCTCACAACAAAGAAATCATGAAACTATAGCAGGATGTTTTGTGTCAAGGTAAACTCAACTACATCCACATAGAGTTATTTGATCCATATTAGCATCATATTAATAGTGTTAATCAAAATATGATAACCACAATGCCCCGTAAATCAATGTATGATGATAAACGCACTTTAAGAGTTAAGTTTGATTTTCGGCTTCTTCTAGGGGTAGCCCCTTGGTGGCTCCCTGAAGCTATCTCATTGAGATGGCTCCCTACTACTGGGTCACATCTGTCGCAGGAGTACTGTTTAGCCTACCAGGGACCATAGCCAGAACCTGGCCTCCTCACAGAGGTGCAAGGAGCTGGGGATTATTATTGACATCTTCACCAGGAAAGCACCCAGAAAGTCAGTGAAGCTTTACAGACAACTTCAAGGTTCATAGAAAATAAAGCATTGAAACAGCCACCAGCAATTCAATCCAAACAATTGGTTTACTTGAAACTGTCTCTAACCATTTAAGATTAGAGGTTACCTTTTTTCAAGGTAACCTCAAGGTAACCTATTATCATCAATGGCTGCCATTAGGCAGCCTGGAACCCCAGGGCCAGTAACTGGCTCCAAAGTCAGCCCTGTCACTATTGCTACTGTTCATCATCGATACTGCTTCAATGCAGTTCCCAAAATTGTCTCGGGCATCTTTCACCTCCGCTCGGCTCATGCTGTTCCTGAGCCATCGTGGTCTCTTGAAAAGATGTTGTGTTTCTTGCAGCCTTCTCCTCCTTTCCTGGTGAAGAATGAGCTGGTTGGCTTCCAGAAGGATCCTTTGATGATTGCTGCTTGGTTGATGCCAGGATGCATAATTTGTTCGTGTCTGGTGGCGACTCTTCGCTGCTTTCTGCATGCCATCTGTTCCACCTCAGTGGACTCTTTGCTGGTTGACCCTGTTTCCTTAGCCCCATGCTTGGAGGCTTATATTTCTCAGGTTGTTTGCTAGTGTCATAAAAGCTAGCTAGCCTGTGGTCTACCCTGGGGCTCACGAGGTTCACATATTCACAGCTGTGGTTGCTGTCTTCTGTGATGTGTCATGGGTTGCTTTTTGAGCTTGGGGTTTAGTGGAACTTTTTGTGTCTTAGTGATCTGTTTGGTTGCCATTCTTCATTTTTCTGTGTGAATAGTTAGCTTCAGAAAGCCATCAAGGGGCTCACTCCAAAAAGCCACCATTGAATGTAATGAAATGCCTTTTTCTGGTAGAAAATTGAAATTCCCCTGTGGCTCCCTGATTCCCTCTAACAGGTTTGTCAGTTCATAGTTTATCAGCTCAAGTCTGACCTGGAGCTGGCTGGTAGCTGAGATCTCTGATTGGGACGCCATCTGTTGATGGGCAATTGCATCAGGGAATTAAAACTAGCTTCAAGTGAACCATTTGTTATGAATGAATTTTTTGTGGAGTTGTTTGGCTGTTTCAGTGATTTGTTTTCTATGAACCTTGCAGTTGTCTGTATTGCTTCGCTGATTATCTGGATGCTTTCCCAGTGTGGCTGATCTTAACAATCTCCAGTTCTTTGGGCCTTTGTGAGGGAGGCCAGGTTCTGGCTCTGGTTCCTAGTAGGCCAAACAAGACTCCCAAGACTGATATCACCTAGTAGTGAAAAGTCATCTTAGTGAGGTTGCTTCAGGGAGCTACTGGGTCTCTACCAGAAATAGGCTTTTCATTACAATCAATGCTGTTTTTTCTTTTCAGAGTTTGGAGTTGTGTATTATATACTGGTGGTGCCTCTGTCACTACCAGTAATTCTCCTCCTCCTTTACATCAGATGGCTTGGATGGGAGTTGTATACAAACAACTGAGATAAGTGATGACCAATTACAGTATATTAAATCAATGCCAACTTCATGTGTATCTCCTGAGATATACTGTATTTATTTAGTATGGTCAAGAATACAAGATTCTTGTATGCTGATTTATGAAGATATTAATAAAATATTCTTGATTGAGGGACCTCATATGAATACAGTGCTGTAGCCATCTTTAACTCATGTCACTTGAGTTGTTGTAGTAATGGCAGAGCCTATAACAACTTCCACCCTTCAAAAAAATACAGCTGCTGCAAATACAGCTCTGGCCCATGGACAGCCTGTACCTTTGACATTTGAACAGCTGTCTTTTCCTAAAGTCAAAATATCCAAGTCTATAGCCAGAAGGCCTGTTCATATTCCTGTGCAATCTACTTCACTAGCAGAGGGGTTTAACAATACTGAGTCACCAGTACCAGCATTAGTAACAGCTAGTAATTGTCTTGTGACCTCAATTTCAAGCCAAGTAGACAATTTAGTAGTAATGAAAGCAAAATGTGAACCATTGGGGCTTTCCTCTGAATGTAAGGTCCCAAGTAAAGGTGGATGTCTTCAAAGGATTCTGAATCATTCATCAAACAATTCTGAAGGGTCTGCTCATGAGACTGATAATGTATTAGCTACAATTAACACAAATAGTGGTGTTGATTCAAATACCATTGTCATTAGAGAAGATATGGCTGGATGTATGGTGATGAATCTGGAAGGCAACATGGTAGTTCAAGAGCATCCTTCAGCTCAGGCCCCTGCTGAGCCATATTTAGTAGATGAACAACTCCTGGTACAGGTCACTCAAGAACACGAGCCTGAGCGAGCTCACACAAGTGACTCAACGAATAACTCCAGAATACTTCATGGAAGCATCTCTTATGTAAAAGGGACTACAGAAAGATCCATTTTTGATGATGATATCAGGAAAAATCTATCCAGGAAGCCTGAAGATAAAAAGATTAAAATAAATGTAAATACTAAATTTAATTTTGGAAGTAAGATTCAAAATCAGTCAAATTTTGAATCAAGATGGAACTTTCATGCAAGTCTAGCAAAGTCAGAATGTCCTTTAGTTATCAAAGCATCTCAAGATGATCTAAAGTTAGAAGATGAAAGTGAAGCAGAAAACTTTGGTCGGCCAAGGAGGAAATCTGCCAAGAAAGCAAGACTTAAATGGAAGAATATTCATGATGTTGACAACATTGGAAAAATTGGAATGAAAAAAACTAGGCACCTTCATTTTCTCTCCAGAAATAAACATTTAAATAAGATAGAGAACCCCATGGTAAGTACATCATTAAATGTTTGTTCAGCCACAAGCGTGCATAATTTATTTGTGCTGCATATTATTAGGTTTAATGAAGAATTTGGTAAGTAAGGTGTATAGATCAGATATTTTTAGAATTAAAGAAAAAGCAATACATATGTATTAATGGATTTGAATAAAGTACAGTACAGTATAAAGTATGCAGGAAATAGGTGTGCTGAAAATGATTTAATAATATTTTCTTGTTATTGTTGGAACGGCTTATAAACGATGTTGTATAAAGTGTGTGATGTCACAGTGACTGTTCATTACCCTAATGGTTGAGGCAGGTGGGATAATTGTAGCACATGAATATATATAAATGGAACATATTTGAAGTTTCTGTAGTTGAAATATAGGTATGGTACTGCTCAAGTACAGGCATACCTCAGAATAAGAGTTTAATCCGTTCCTGGAGACGCCTCGCCTTCCGAAAACTCGCATTCCGAAGTTAATTTCCCCATAAGAAATAAAGGGAAATGAATTAATCCGTTCCTGACTACCCCAAAAACCCCACATCAAACTAAATTTTTATACCTAATTTACCTAATTCATCTAAATAAACCTACAAAACTGTGTTCCAGTTATTACTTACCTTGCTGTCGAGTGCTGTAGGCGTATGGAAGATGGTGAGGAGGGGGGAGGAGGAGAGGAGTTACTGTTTGGAAGGGGAGTCCCCTTCCATAATCACATCACATAACCCCATGCCTTGTAACACTATGGATACCACTTCTCTTTCTAAATTTTTCAAACCAGCCCCTGCTTGCCTTAAACTCTTTCTTATCTGCATCACTCGTTGCAGGGGTATTCTTTAGAAGGTCTTCGTGCAACACCCTGGCTTTCTCACAAATAATGGCCTCCGAAACACTATCACCCCTCAACTCCTTGTCGTGTATCCAAATTAATAACAACTTTTCCACTTCAAGTATTTGTGGTCTTTGTGCCGTTAATGTTCTTACTCCTTTTGCCACTTTAGCACCCATAATCTTATTTTTCTTCTTAAGTATAGTGCATATTGTTGATGTGGCTTTGTTGTACTGCCTACAAAGTTCAACAACACGTGTACCGTTCTCATGCTTCCGAATGATCTCTTGTTTCTCCTCTATTGTCATCCTCACATGAGCTTTCTGGCCTTTATCCTTACCACTGGCTTTCTTGGGACCCATGGTGAGATATATAATAACAAATTGTATAGACAAATCACCAAAAATCCAACAAAACACTGAAAATCCGCGAGAAGAATTGATGTGGGGGTAGTCACTGAGCGCGAGACAATAATAAACTGAGGGGCGGAGGGGCGACGAACGCGCTAGGTCGGCTGTACGCGTATCAACAAACTCGCGTCCAAACTCGCCTCCCGAAGTAACCCTCGCCTTCTGAGACAAATTTTTGGAGTAAATACACCTCGCCTTCCGAAAACCTCGCATACAGGGACAATCGCATTCCGAGGTACCACTGTACTTCAAAACCTAATCCCCCTCTACAGTTGCACAAAGAGCAGGGGAATACGAGATCATCCTAATCAATAAAAGCCTCCAGAAAGGTGGATAGGTCAAAAGAAACAAACAGCAAGGTAAACAAATCCTGGAAAATGAGGAAACAAGAACATAAACAAAGTGTAGCACCCAGTCGTAAAGCAATACACTTGTTAATTACACCTGCACGGTGCCATGTGGCTACATGACTAACTTGTCAAGTCCTCAGATAGATACCTTAGTCATTTGCCTGATGGCAAAGCCATCATTACACTCCTCATTCCTGCCATCCTCTTCAAGTCCAAGGGGGCTCTCCCCAGAAATCATATATTGTGAAGCAAGCACTGGAACAAAGAACAAATACACAAGCATACTTGTGTAAAGGAGGAAATGTATATGTTTATCTCTCAGAATGTTCGGTAATACGTTTATTGCTTGTGATGTGTGTCTATGTATGTATTAACACGATGTACTGAACGGGGTGAGAATAGCTTGAGCTACCTCATCCCTTTGTGTGTATTTTACCTCAATAAACTTATTTCAATTTCAATACACAAGCAAATAGTCCCCCATAAGACGAACAGTGAAGCAAGCATCAAGAGTGCTTTCCCTCCTGGACACTGTTCATCTTACCAGGGTCATTTGCTTGTGTATTTGTTCTTTGTTTTAGTGTTTGCTTCACAATATATGATTTCTGGGGAGAGCCCCTTGTAGTTCGCTTGAAGCTACTATGCTGATATAGTGCTAAACTACTAGGTGCCATCAGTTGTGGAGTTCTTTTTGAAGTCCTTGTCCCCTTTTGTCCTTGTCCTCTTTTGTCCTTGTCCCCCTTATCCTCTTTTCGCTCTTTGTCCCCTACTGGGGATAAGGAGCTAGAACTTGGCCCCCCTCAGAGAGGTACAGGGAGCAGTGGCACTATGATAAATTCTTCATGACTTTCAATCATGTCTGCCACCACCAGAGAAGTACCCAGAAAGTCAGTGAACCAAAACAGACCACTGCTGGTGAAAAGTGAGAATGCAGCCTCACAACCACCAAAAAAACTCCCCCAACACTGTAAACAATTGAAAATTCATGAAACTAGTGCTAGCTCGTTCATCCCACCTCCTCACTCATTTGGGGGGAGAAGGGAGACAGCATGGAGTTCGCGAGCAGCTCCACCCTTGGTTCTCTGCTGATGGTACATGTGTGCGGTGCTTTTTCTGTCGATCTGGCTCCAGTGTCCTTCTTTCCAGCTAAGTGAGGCTTTGACTTTGTGGCTGTTCCTGTGCAGTTTGGTGCAGCATGAGCCAGGAGTTAAGAGCACTTGGGGTTCGGACCTGGTTGGGTTTGGTTTGGTATTCTTAGTCGATGTCACTTTCCCTGCCTCCTGCGGCCTTGATCTGGCTGCAGTGCCGCCATCTTCTGGTGTTGAGCGGGAGCCAGGTGTTTCGGCAGTTGCACAAGCAATTGTAATTACCTAAGTGTAGTTACAGGATGAGAGCTACATTCGTGGTGTCCCATCTACCCAGTACTCTGTCATGTAACGCTTTGAAACTACTGACGGTTTTGGCCTCCACCACCTTCTCACTTAACTTGTTCCAACCGTCTACCACTCTGTTTGTGAAAACGAATTTTCTTATATTTCTTCGGCATCTTTGTTTAATTAGTTTAAATCTATGACCTCTTGTTCTTGAAATTTCTCAGAAATCTTCCCTGTTGATTTTATCAATTCCTGTTACTATTTTGTACGAAGATCAGCCGAAGTGGTATGCTGAGCTCAATTGCACATTCTCTCAGAACCCATGGTGAAACTCCATCTGGAACACTGCTTTGTTCTTACTTAGCTCCAAGAGCATTTATTTCACTTCGTCTTTAGACACCTCTATGTGCTCTATGTTGTTCTCTGGAATTCTTATTGTGTCTGGTTCCCTGAAGATCTCATTTTTACAAACACACTTTGGAACTTTTCGTTTAATGTTTCACATATTTCCTTTCCATTTTCAACCTCTGAATATTATCCTTTACCTGCAGCTTGCTTTTAATGAATTTATAGAAGAGGCCTGGATCTGATTTACATTTGTCTGCTGCACCGTTCTCAAAGTTCCTCTCTGCCTGTCTTCTTACTGACGTGTAGTTGTTTCTCGCATCTTTGTATCGCTGGTATGTTTGGGGGTTTGGCCTCTTCCTATAATGATTCCATGCTTGTCTTTTTATCTCTAGCCCTCTTGCAATTTCTGTTGAACCAATCCTGTTTCCTTGGTCTGCATCTCTGTTTTGGTATGAATGTTTGTTTGCCTTCATCGTATATTTTGCAAAATTTGGCATACATCTCATTTACTTCCTTACCTAGCAACAAGTCTGTCCAATTATACCCATGAAAAAAAATTCTAGGTTCCCCATAGCATCCTCTCTTGAAATCAAGTTTAACAACTATTTCAATGTCCCCATTCTCTACTAGATTATATCGCAAAGCATATATAATGTCCAAGAGGATGTGATCACTCTTTCCCAAGGGAGGAAAGTACTGGATGTCAAATACCTCTTCTTCTTTCCTGGTGAATATTAGATCCAGTATTGACGGAACATCCCCTTCCCTCATTCTTGTGGCCTGCTTGACGTGTTGATACATGAATGTCTCCAAGATGAGGTTTACAAATCTGCCTGTCCAAATGTCCTCTGTTCTTGCCTCGTAGGCCTCCCAGTTTATTGCCTTAAAGTTGAAGTCCCTCAGTACCAACAATCGGGATTTATCTTTGTCAGCTCTTACCATAATCTCTCATGACCATTATGAGGCTCGTTTGTCATCCAGTTCTTCCTCTGCCCATGTGTTGCTTGCTGGTGGGGTGTAGGCATTTAAAATTATCAGCTTATCATCTTGATTCCAGATCTGCAATGCCATTATGTCAATAACTCGAGGGTTTTCAATTATTAACTCTCTTACCTTCAGGTGTTCTTTCGCCGACACAGCCACTCCTCCCTTCCTAGTTTTCCTGTCCAAACTGAGTAGCCCCTTGGAAATACGACCTCATTTAAAATATTTTCTTCAAGTTTTGTCTCTGTTAATGCGACAATATCTTGGACTTTGAGCTTAATTATATCCTTCAACTCCAATATTTTTGATCTCACTCCATCTGTCTTGGTATATACTATTTTCAGGATCATGTTCCCCTTCCCTTTGTTCTTTACACCCCCTTCCTTTAATGATTTTGTTGCTTTGTCTTTATGTACCATTTCACAAGCTTTCCAGTCCCTGACACTTTGAAGAAAAAAGAATTCCTTTCTTCTTCATTTTTATCCCCATTTAGATGTTTTGCTTCAATGAGGTTCATTTTCAGCTTTTCTCTGTCCTCCTTTGAGATGTCTTGTCTTATTGACCAAAGTTTGCTATCTTCGTCACATTGCAATTTTCTGGCATTCCAAAGCACTTCTGTTGTATACTTCACTTCATTAAACGTCATCCTTAAGGGGCGATTCTTGTCTTTCTCATATTTTCCTATCCGCCTAAAATCACTGACATGCTCC